TCCATGTGGTGGAATTCTACATTGGATTGTTCGGTACTGTAGGTGGACAAAAAAAGTAAATCAATATTTTTATACATACTATTTTGATTTCTGCTCAAAATTATAGGCTGGCTAAAACGCCTTACAGTCTAAGATCCCATGTACCCTCAGAACCAATGTACCCTAAGAACTCGATGTACCCTCAATGTACCCTTTTTCGATGTACCCTTGGATCGTGGGCCCATTCTCAAATATATTTCTTCTCGGCTGCGGCTGTTGTCTTTTGGGCGAAAGTTAAAGGTGGGGGGACAGGAGATTTTTCGTAGTTTTTTGTAGCTAGAGTATGCATTCTACCGTGACGGTGTACAACGCTTAATGTCACGCTGCGTACAGCTGTCGTCCTCGCCTTTATGTATGCAAACGGGCGTGCGCTCTCTCTTTGCCCGCGTGGCTCAGTCGGTAGCGGCGCCGCACCCTCAATCCTCGCCTTCACAAGTTCAACTCCTCGAGGGGCATCTTTGAACGGAATTTCAAGAACTTTTTTTTTCATGTCCCCCCACCTTTAAGGGTTTGCCGTCTGTTGAGCGAACTATGAGCACCTTTTGGGCGAAGTTGAAGCGCCGTCGGTTTTTGAGCGAGTTTCGTGCGCCTTTTGGGCGAAATTTTATGGTATCTCTGTTGGCAAACTGTTGATGAAAATATTAATTGATGTAATGGCCTGTGTTTGAGTTTGAATGAATTGTTAAGTTGCCGATAAAAACATGACATAATATTTGGTATGTATTTTTTTTAGATATTTCGCTTTCTCAGTTTTAATTCATAATTGATAATTTATACTCAGAACTTGAAATTTAAAGTTTCAAAAGTTGTGGACAATTTCTCGGTTGAAAAAAGTGATGCTGATTGCGAGAAAACATCATAAAATGTATGCCCTCTAAAAAGTCAACTTTTGGTATCTGTAAAAAGACATAAAACTCGTATTTGATATACAATCTCTAGACCAAAGCCCAAACGGACTACCGTATTTCCCCTAATAGAAGACCACCCAAACCGTCAATTTTGAGCTCAATTATCTTGGCTCTTTTCAAAGATATCAAAAATTTGTCAACTGATAAATAATTTATCATAACGTCACCTATTTTTCATCAGTTGACAACTTTTTGAAATCTTTCATAGGAATCGAAATAAATGAGCTCACTCATGTAGAGAATAAAAGTGAACTCTCGCGAAATTTGGCGAACCCCGACGGAAATAGAGAGTCGGTGGTGTAGGAGAAGGACGGACGCAGGTTTGGCAAACTTCGGCGAACTCTGGGCGAGTTTTGAATGCGTTGCGTGCAAGCGACGCGTGCATTTCGAATTTTGCATCACCTATTTTTTTCCTATTTTCAGTGTTTTATATGAATTCCTGCTCAAACTTCTAAATATTTTTATCCAAAAATGATTAGATTTTCGAAACCGAAAACGACGAAGAACGAATACCGTAAGTGGAATAGAAAATTTCAATTAAATCCTTTTTTCATTCAGCGTCGAACTGAGAAAATCATTTTTCTGAGTTCTATCTCGTCTACGCCCCTTCGATCACATCTCCAGGAGTTTTCCACTGATAGCATGTAAGGTAAACAACAATTATGTTATTCAGTCATTAATAACGTTTTTAGACTCAAGATTCGGAATTTCGTGAATGCCGCAAATCCTCCGCTCGGAAGGGACAAGTCAGAGAAACCGCGAAGTCAGAAGAAGCTTCAAAAGGTTCGTATATTCTGGGTTTGACGCTTTCGAAAACGTCCAGCAATATTGAGAAAATGCTTTTAAAGGTGGGGGGACAGGATATTTTTCGTAGGATTTTTGTAGCCAGGGTATGCATTCTACCGTAACGGTGTACAACGCTTAATGTCACTCTGCGTACAGCGGTCGTCCTCGCCTTTATGTATGCATTCGGGCGCCGGCTTCCTCTTTGCCTGTGTGGCTCAGTCGGTAGCGACGCCGCACCTCCAATACTTGCCTCGACAAGTTCAACTCCTCGAGAGGCATATTTAAACGGAATTTCGAGAACATTATTTTTTCATGTCCCCCCCACCTTTAAAATGTTTGTAATGTTGTGAAGATATATTTCCCTAAGTATATCGGCAATGGAAATCCGACCTCATCGAGTCCATTTAAAATTCTTTTGAGATTCCGAGTGCAATGGTAGGCGAAATGTCGTGAGAAATAGTTTAAAGGGGGACTCCGACCAAAAATTTGTATTGCATTAAAACGTGTTAAAAGTTATCTATTTTCCGAATATTATTGCGAAAAAATTCAAAAAAAAAATCCGAAATTCCCAAAAAACGGCGTTGAAAAGGAAGAAAATTCAAAAAAAGGTGCCGCCGGGGGACGAGGATTTTCAGTGAGAAACCTAGGCCACGGCAGCGGGCGCCTTTCNTACGTGGCAAATTTTCCGGATTTTTTTCAATTTCATGTCCGGCAGGTAAAAAACGTAAAAAACCACTGTCGGCGACTTGAAAAAAAGGCTGTCAGGTGCCGTGGCCTAGGTTTCTCACTGAAAATCCTCGTCCCCCGGCGGCACTTTTTTTTTGAATTTTCTTCCTTTTCAACGCCTTTTTCGGGGATTCCGGATTTTCTTTGAATTTTTTTGCAATAATATTTGAAAAACAAATAAATTTTAACACATTTTAATGCAAAAAATTTTTGGTCGGAGTCCCCCTTTAAAATGTATCGAAATTCAATTCTGCCCAAGCCTTCTAGTCTGCTAAGTGTCAGACTTCACAGGGTAACGGCTGCGCATGGTATATGAGTTGGCGCGGCGCCTCATATGGACGACATAGGTACACCGTTTGCGCGCATATAGTACGCTATATGCGCGCACGCGCCATCGAGATTGGGCATAACGCGTCCATATTTCATCTACAATTTCAGGTCGTATTGGCGATGGATATCTTATACGGATTAATTCATCTAACTATAGTTGTAATAAGATGTGATTTTGTTCAGATCTTCCAATATCGTTCATTTTCCCTTTCAGATTTCACAGAGTGACCATTTTTCCAGTTTTCACAGAATTTTCTCACAGCAAGAAAAATTATGGCAGGAAGTTAAAAATATCTGGATGATATAACATAATAAGTTTTTCCTTCAAAATTGCGATATAGAAACCTTGAAAAAAATTCAACAAAGTCTTGAAATTGGCATTAATTCGCATATTTTTTTTTCGAAATAATTTTGTTTCTCGGATTTTTTCCTACTTTCACTTCGTAATAATCGGAAAACTTACCAACCAACCTGTATTTCACCTGAAAAATATATTATTCCTCTTATTCCGACTCAGGTAAACGATTCTGAATTAGATCTGACTTCATTCGGAATTAGATCGAATAACTCGAAATTCTGAATTAGATCTGAGTTCATTCGGAATTAGATCTGGACTAGATCCAATACCGAAGTTGACACGAGAAATGCGCCAGTGACTCAGCTGGCGCGGATGATTTTTTTTTTAAACCCATATTTATTTTCTTCAATAATATGAATTTTTCTCTCAAATTTTTGCAGTTTTTCACCTGATTTTTATCCTAGAAATCAGTAACTAGTCAAATGTAACTGTATTGAACATATTTTCATGCGTAGCGAGCTTTTTTGCAGAATTTTAGGTGAAATTATTTTTTCCTTCGTTATCCGCTCGTCCGCATGTCCACTTTCCGCGTTTGTTCAGAACTGTTTCAATTCAAATATTGCAGACATGACACGATATCGAATCAAGAAAAAAGAGGTAGAAGCTTCAACGAGGAGAAGGCTGAAGGCGTTGAAGGTGACGAATCGAAGCGAATTCAACGCCGGCACTGTCGGAGACGGCGGCGGGCAGTGAAGAAGATGAAGAGTTTGGAAAAATTGAAACGAATTCTCCCGGTGATGTGATGGGTCTTTTTTTTGGGGGATTAAAACCTTTTAAAAACATTTTTTTGAACGATCGATCGACGGAATTTTCCGTTTTTGTGAGGGGTTTTCGAGAATTTCAAAGTAGTATGTAGTTTTTGTATTTTGTTTGTAGTAATCGTAACATTAGATAAGACAAAAAACCTGTCTTGTTTTATCTGCGTCTCCACTATCTTATCATTGTCTCGATGGCCTGATGACAACGTTCTTTTTCTCTTTATTATTTCCTATTTCGTCTGAAAATGACTAAAAAAATCACTGAAAGTTTCTGTAAAATTTGTGGAGATGTTTCGAATACGATTCGATTTGGAGCGGTTTCTTGTAGGTGAGGTTTTTTTGAATTTTATATTTTTTCGGAAATTCAGAAATTCTAAATTCTGAATTTCGGAAGTTGAGAAATTCGGAAATTCAGAAATTCAGAAATTCAGAAATTCAGAAATTCAGAAATTCAGAAATTCAGAAATTCAGAAATTCAGAAATTCAGAAATTCAGAAATTCAGAAATTCAGAAATTCAGAAATTCAGAAATTCAGAAATTCAGAAATTCAGAAATTCAGAAATTCAGAAATTCAGAAATTCAGAAATTCAGAAATTCAGAAATTCAGAAATTCAGAAATTCAGAAATTCAGAAATTCAGAAATTCAGAAATTCAGAAATTCAGAAATTCAGAAATTCAGAAATTCAGAAAAAAAAAATTCAGAAATTCAGAAATTCAGAAATTCAGAAATTCAGAAATTCAGAAATTCAGAAATTCTAATCATTCTCAATTTCCAGAGCTTGCGGTGAATTTTTCCGTCGAAAAGTTACCTCAAAATCCGCAAAACTTCCCAAAAAACGCTGTTTTGGAACTTGTGAATTAACGAAACAAATTCGAAAAACCTGTCAAAACTGTCGATTCCAAAAATGTCTGAAATCGGGAATGCTGGAAATTATGGTGGAGCTAGAATGTCAATCCACGTTGCAGAATCATCTGGAAATATTTTGGATGAATTGAGAAATGGTTATAGGAATTTGGAAGTGGCCAGGAGACAAAAATTTGAGGAGCAGGTAGCATTTTTTTTTCAATTCAAAATTAAAATAAAAAATTTCAGAATCCAATCAGATTCTGTACTCATCAGGAACTCAATGAAATTTATCAAATGGATATTGATTTGATTTTTGAATCTATAATTCCGATTTTTCAAAGGAGAACCCGAAATTTCGAAATGGAACAGGAGAAAATGTTGGCTGAAAATTTTATACTTCCATTTTTACAATTGGAAACAACGTTTAGGTCGATGGGTAAGTGAAAAATAGAGAATTTTTTGTATTGTTTTTTTTCGGAAGTTTGAATTTTTTGTTTTTTAAAGGGGGACTCCGACCAAAAATTTTTATTGCCTTAAAATGTTTCAAAAAATATGTATTTTCCTAATATTATTGCGAAAAAATTCAAAAAAATCCTAAATCCCCGAAAAAGGGCGTTGAAAAAAAATAGGATTTGAATTCCCGCCCANNGANAAACCTANGCCACNGNATCATAGCGCCTCTCTTACATGGAAATTTTCCGGATTTTTCGGTTTTCATGTCCGGCATGTGAAAAACGTAAAAAATCACGGTCGGCCACTTGAAAAAACGGTTGTCAGGCGCCGTGGCCTAGGTTTCTCACTGCGCGAGAATTCAAATCCTCGTCCCTCCTAGCAACTTTCTTTTGAAGATTTTTCGCTTTTAACGGCATTTTTCGAATTTTTTCGCTATAATATTGGGAAAATAGACAACTTTTCGAACATTTTAAAAATTTTTGGTTTTTCCGAATCTTTGAATTCTTCAATTTTACATACAATTTTTGAGTAATCTAATCTTTCAGGATCCACTTCATATTGCCTTCCAAACAATGCAATTTTCGATACAAATCATTTGGATAAACTATATATGGATCAAAATACACTAGAGTTGGTTTTTTGGAGTTTTTCCAGATTTCAGCTTTTTTCAGAATCGTCCAACCATACTGGAATTCTTCCAATCGAAATTTAAAAATGCCGATGGACCTTGCAAAATTGGATGAACCAGAAATGATCCTTTGCAGTGCTCTAATCTATTGGGATTTTGGAATCAATGGACAAACGGATTACTGTATTAAAAGATGTGTGAAAATGAGAAATCTGGTGATTCGAGAATTGGCAAATTACGAGAAATTAAAAATAGGAGAGGATAATTGCCAATTGAGGATAATGGAAGTTATGGGGATAATTCAAGGAGTTCATCGGGCATCAGATGCTGTCAAAAAGTGTGGACACGTGGCAAAGATTTTTAATTTGAAGGGGAAGGAATGTCCGTTGTATGAGATTTTGGATAACTGAATTTAAGTTTCTGGAATGAATATTAAAAATAAGTTCTACCCCGAATGGTGAAAACAAAACTGAGAAACAATGTTCTGAAATTTAAATTCTTCAAATTTTTCCGTAAGCTTAATAATATTCTTGATCCCAAGCCAGGCGGGCCTTGTTTTTTTTTCTGTAACTTTGTTCCAAAACAAGGCACAGTTTCTTAAGTAATATCATTTTGTAGCACTCGTTGAGTTCTATCATATTTAATTTATTCATTTAATTTAGTTTAGTGAAAAACATTAATTCTAAAAGAAGCTATGACAGATCCCGCGAAGGCCCGGCAAAGACCCGGTTGCAAGTATATCAAAAATAAATGTTATACTACAATCAAATGACACCAAAAACCCATTTAGTTACTGTACATTTGATGATATTTGCTTTCACAGATACAATGAAGCTTTCAACTCCAAAAATGTTCAAGAATCATCTAAACAGCTGAACAAATATTCTAAAAAATGTGGGTGTACGGTTCTCAGAATTGGAAAAATGAAAACTTGGAAATCGGAAAAACTGAAAAATAGGTGATAAGAAGAACGATACCAATAACCAAGTGATAACAAAGTCTTGAATTTTCGGATACTTATATTTTTAGGAAACGTGAAATTTTCAATTCTTAAACTGCTCACAGGTGTTCAAACAAAAAAAAATTACAAAAAAAAAACTAAAACCCTGGGTGCATTCTTTGGGCAATGATTTGTACCTGAAGTATAACAAATTGATACACCGAGAACAATTGAAAAGTATATAAGCAACCGCCTAGCTCAGGGATCCTTACTTTTCAGCTCCTTCCCAAAGTGTAGCTCATCCCAAGTCATGATTGCTCTAATTTCTCTAGTTTTGGCAGTTTTGGCTCCACAGGCTCAAGCAGTCATCGGTGGAGATCTCAATTGTACCACCTATAATGGAACGGCGGTAAGAGGATTTTTAGAATGTTCTAGAAGATTTCAAAAAAAAAAAAGGTTTCAGTAGTTAAGAAGGTTCTAAAGTGCCCTGATTTTCATAAAACTTTCTGGAACGTTCTAGAATCTTTTAATACACCTAGAGCCTCTGTGGTCTTGAATCAGAAAAACTACGGTTTTCCTAGGTTTTTCAAATGTTCTAAGACTCGGGACACATGAAATCTTACGAATCAAGACCCCCAACCCCCTAATGTCCCCATATTTCAGTTCGTGTGGACCCCAGCTGCCACCGCTTGCTCCAATGTCATCTCCGACTCATCGTGCGCCATCCTCTACCCGGCACCAGTCACCGCCGATGGATTCCCATCTCCAGGACGTGACCAACAACGACCACTGACCTGCTACACAACCGCCACTGCCACTCCAGCTGGTATTGTGATGGATATGAAAAAGGCGGCGTTGGATAACTGCCCAAGAACTTGTGGATTGTGCTGTCAGACTACCGCTTACAGTTGTTCTAATGTTGCTTGTAAGTATTTAATCTAGGGGATAGGAGTCTGTGAACCTGGGAAGCTAGACAATCATGAAGCCAGGAGGCCATCAATAAAAGCCAGGAATAAAAAAAAATAATAATGAAACCATGAAGCTTTCATAATGAAATTGAAAGTTTTCTAAACATGTATAACGTTACCGATTTACAACGTTTCTTGCGAATTTCAAATTTTTTTAATTTTCCCGTTTTCAGTATTAAGAATGAGCTCAAACATGGCCTATCTGGGCTAGAGCGCGCAAGAACTTAAAAAATACAATTTTTTAGTCTTATTGGGACCTAAAGGTACTTTAAGCTTTGCCTTGAGTTCCCCGAAAAACCGGACTTCGACTAAGGCTATCATATTAAATCACTACAAAGCTTAATGCCCAGTAAAGATTTTTTAAAGGACCGTTTTAATAGATATGTCTTCCAAAAAGGCCTAAAAGCCCCTTCTATTACAAATCTTACTGTATTCCAGTCCCCCGTCTCAACTGTGCCACAATCACGTCCTCCCAATGTCTCTCCGCCGCCTGGCGTACCATCATCGCCACCGACTGCCCCTCCGCGTGCGGATTCTGTAACTCTGGCGGATGCGTCGACGCTGTTCTGGATTGTGCCAACGACGTCACCATTTGCAGAACCGTCGGACTACAAGACTTTGTCAACACCTACTGCCAGAGAACCTGCAATAGATGTGCATCCTCCACTACCACGACAACATCTCTCACTGGAACCTGCACATCTTACAATGCTGATTCGAGCACTGCCTGTACCGCATGGGCTGCAAATGGATTCTGCACCAACACCTTCTACACTTTGGCTCAGAGAAAGGCCTATTGTGCCAGAACTTGCAGAATATGTTGAGGATTTGGTGGGAGACAAGACAAGACCGGTAGACGACCATGACAGCCAAAATATTGCATTTTAGATAGCTAGTTTTCATGACGAAATGTTTTTTTTTTCAGTTTTTCTGTGTTTTCATGTCTGACCATCATGATTCATAATAAAAGAATTTACGCTGATCAATTTTACCAGCTGTGTAAACTTTGAAAAATACAGTAATATCGAAAAATGTTTGTTTGTGTGCCAAAATGAAGAACTTCCGCTATTAAAATATTTATTCTTGGTGGTCAATCAAGAAAAATAAAAAGAATAGTCGTCCTGTCCATCTGTGTGCCTGTTTGTCCTCCTATCTAGCAAATCTTACAAGTAGTCGCACAATACGCCTTTCTCTGTTCCTTGGTATAAAACTCATTGACACAGAATCCATTAGCGGCCCAAGAAGCACAAGCCGAGGCACTATCAGCTTTGTAAGTGGTACATCCGGGATTGGAAGGATTGGATGGAGAAGCTGAGCAACGACCGCACGTCTTCTTACAGTACTCATTCACAAATGGTTGCATATCGATATTGGTGCAAATTGAGATGTCGTTGGCACAATCAGTCACACCATCCACACATCCACCGTCATTACAGAATCCACACACTGATGGACAGTTTTGGGCGATTTTCTCACGCCAGATTGGAGAGAGGCATTGGGAGGGTTGGATTGTGGCACAGTTCATCGCGGGGACTGAAAATGTTGAAATTATTTTGGGATTCTGGGACATCGATCTTATATCTAGAAAATTCTGAAAGCCCCAGCGCAATTTTCAGCAGAAATAAAGCCATTTGAAGTTTTGGAAGCGAGAGATGCAGACAATAAGACACTCTAACGATCTGCGTCTCTTCTAATTATCTTCCAAGCCAATTCCCTTACACTGAGCATTGGTGCAATTGTAAGCCGGTGTCAAGCAACACATTCCACAAGTCTTTGGACAGTTCTTAATAGCTGCCTTCTTCATATCGGCATCAACTGATCCTCCATTTGGACTGGTACTGTAGCAAGCAAATGGACGTTGAACCTGGTTGCCTGCGGCTGGGAATCCGACACCTTGAGCTGATTCTTTGTAGAAAACAGCACAAGATGCATCAGGAAGGTTATTGGAGCATACGGTGGCAGAGGCGGTGTAGGAGGTCTGGAACTTTTTTTGGTTATCATTAAAATTTTTGAAAATGTATGGTTACCATATCGGTACAGGAGAAGTCATCGGTAATGGCTGCGAGGGCTCCTGGAGCAAGAATTGTTAGAAGGAGGACGAGTCCGAACATTGTTGGATGAGAAGTGAAGTGATTATTGAGATGTATCAATTTGATTTTATACCAAATTTCTAAACTTCCGATTCTTGATTTGTTTATACAGATTAGAAAGGTTCAAACTTGATATTTACACCCACAATTTTTTTAAAAAACCACCTGATTCAATAAGTTCATTTTCTGTACTTTCCTGTTTGAACAGCTGAGAAACGATTTTGATTCTTATAAGTGACAATTTTCTATTGAATCAGCCTGTAGTGCTTGTGGGTGTAAATTCCTAATGTAGTTTTTCATTTCATTTTCGTTTAAAGTTTGAACCTATATAAAAAAGGCAGCCATCTGTATAAACAAATCAAAAATCGAATGTTTAGAAATTTGGTATAAAATCAATTTGATACATCTCAATAATCACTTCACTTCACATCCAACAAAATGTTCGGACCCATCTTCCTTCTAACGATTTTTGCTCCAGGAGCACTTGCAGCCATTACCGATGATTTCTCCTGTACCGATATGGTAACTACAAACTTTTAGACACTTTTGAGATTCACCTAAAAAAAGTTCCAGACCTCCTACACCGCCTCTGCCACCGTATGCTCCAATAACCTTCCTGATGCATCTTGTGCTGTTTTCTACAAAGAATCAGCTCAAGGTGTCGGATTCCCAGCCGCAGGCAACCAGGTTCAACGTCCATTTGCTTGCTACAGTACCAGTCCAAATGGAGGATCAGTTGATGCCGATATGAAGAAGGCAGCTATTAAGAACTGTCCAAAGACTTGTGGAATGTGTTGCTTGACACCGGCTTACAATTGCACCAATGCTCAGTGTAAGGGAATTGGCTTGGAAGATAATTAGAAGAGACGCAGATCGTTAGAGTGTCTTATTGTCTGCATCTCTCGCTTCCAAAACTTCAAATGGCTTTATTTCTGCTGAAAATTGCGCTGGGGCTTTCAGAATTTACTAGATATAAGATCGATGTCCCAGAATCCCAAAATAATTTCAACATTTTCAGTCCCCGCGATGAACTGTGCCACAATCCAACCCTCCCAATGCCTCTCTCCAATCTGGCGTGAGAAAATCGCCCAAAACTGTCCATCAGTGTGTGGATTCTGTAATGACGGTGGATGTGTGGATGGTGTGACTGATTGTGCCAACGACATCTCAATTTGCACCAATATCGATATGCAACCATTTGTGAATGAGTACTGTAAGAAGACGTGCGGTCGTTGCTCAGCTTCTCCATCCAATCCTTCCAATCCCGGATGTACCACTTACAAAGCTGATAGTGCCTCGGCTTGTGCTTCTTGGGCCGCTAATGGATTCTGTGTCAATGAGTTTTATACCAAGGAACAGAGAAAGGCGTATTGTGCGACTACTTGTAAGATTTGCTAGATAGGAGGACAAACAGGCACACAGATGGACAGGACGACTATTCTTTTTATTTTTCTTGATTGACCACCAAGAATAAATATTTTAATAGCGGAAGTTCTTCATTTTGGCACACAAACAAACATTTTTCGATATTACTGTATTTTTCAAAGTTTACACAGCTGGTAAAATTGATCAGCGTAAATTCTTTTATTATGAATCATGATGGTCAGACATGAAAACACAGAAAAACTGAAAAAAAAACATTTCGTCATGAAAACTAGCTATCTAAAATGCAATATTTTGGCTGTCATGGTCGTCTACCGGCTTGTCTTGTCGCCCACCAAATGCGTAACAAATTCTGCAAGTTCTGGCACAATAGGCCTTTCTCTGAGTCAAAGTGTAGAAGGTGTTGGTGCAGAATCCATTTGCAGCCCATGCGGTACAGGCAGTGCTCGAATCAGCATTGTAAGATGTGCAGGTTCCAGTGAGAGATGTTGTCGTGGTAGTGGAGGATGCACATCTATTGCAGGTTCTCTGGCCTGTAAGATTTGCTAGATGGGAAGACAAACAGACACACAGATGGACAGAACGATTAATTTTAATTTTCTTGTTTTTATACTGCTTGGTTGACCACCAAGAATAAATATTTTGATAGCCGAAGTTATTCATTTTGGCACCCAAACAAAAATTTCCGATACATATTATCTTTCAATTTTTGGAAATTTGCACAGCTTGTCTTCCGATTGATTTGAAAAAGATCAAAATGGATCAGCAAGAACAAACAAATTTCGATTTTTGGCATTTTCATTTGTTCAACTATTCAAAATCAAAATTTTTTAAATTGAGTTTTAGTTTTAAAAACAAACTTTTATTTAATTAAAACAAGCATTTTTTAACCGCAAACTTAGTTTATTTTTTTGAGAATTGAGGTTTTAATAAATTTACAGAGTAAAATCATTAGGATAAACTTCTTGGCGGACCCTTGTGATATATTCCAAAATTTTCGGGAAATCTTTTTCGAGAACATCCGAAACATGAGTGTGGAATGGGTAGTATACGGTAGCCAGAAGACTGAATACGGTGGCGTCGGCCTGGAAAAAATTTGACGGATTTTCGTTGAAAATTAATTTCTGAATTTCTGAATTTCTGAATTTTTGAATTTCTGAATTTTTGAATTTCTGAATTTTTGAGTTTCCGAATTTCTGAATTCCTGAATTTCTGAATTTCCGAATTTCTGAATTTTTTAATTTCTGAATTTCTAAATTTCTGAATTTCTGAATTTCTGAATTTCTGAATTTTTGAATTTTTGAATTTCTGAATTTCTGAATTTCTGAATTTCTGAATTTCTGTATTTTTGAATTTTTGAATTTCTGAATTTCTAAATTTCTGAATTTCTGAATTTCTGAATTTCTGTATTTTTGAATTTTTGAATTTCTGAATTTCTAAATTTCTGAATTTCTGAATTTCTGAATTTCTGAATTTTTGAATTTTTGAATTTCTGAATTTCTGAATTTTTGAATTGCTGAATTTCTGAATTTCTGAATTTCTGCATTTCTGAATTTCTGAATTTCTGAATTTTTGAATTTCTGTATTTTTGAATTTTTGAATTTTTGAATTTTTGAATTTCTGAATTTTTGAATTTCTGAAATTCTGAAATTCTGAATTTTTGAATTGCTGAATTTCTGCATTTCTGAATTTCTGAATTTTTGAATTTCTGTATTTTTGAATTTTTGAATTTTTGAATTTTTGAATTTCTAAATTTTTGAATTTCTGAATTGCTGAATTTCTGAATTTCTAAATTTTTGAATTTCTAAATTTTTGAATTTCTGAATTTCTGAATTTTTGAATTTCTGAATTTCTGAATTGCTGAAATTTGAATTTTCCCTACTCACCGCTGTAATCTCATCTCCAAACAAGAATTTTCCCTTCATCGTATTCTGAATGATTTCCAAATCTTTATGCAAAAATTCATCCAATTCCTTCAATTCGAAATCTCCAATTGCTCCAGTATTCCTGGCATAAAATCGTTTTCCAACACTTGCTTTTACAAATGGGAGAAATAGGAATTTAAGGGCTTGAGGCATTCCAACAAGGCGATAGATGGTTTCGTAGAAAGCATGTTCAGCAGTTTTGAATCGATAGATTATGCTGGAAATTTTAGACAATTTTGACAAATAAAAACTGTTGAACAGACGGGAATTCAAAACTTGTAAAATTTTTTTAAATGTTGAAACTCAAGAAAAGTTTCAAAATACCGTATTTCCTCAAATAACCCAACCGAACCGCCCAACTAAATCGTCAACTTTGGACTCAATTATCTTGAGCTAAAGATTTAACGTTTGAGTGTATAAACGTATAAATGAGTTTAGTTTTATTCAAAGAATCTATGTATGAAGTTTCTTTGCAATATTTTTTAGATTTTGAAAAAAAAGGAAAACTTACTGAAAAAGATGGAAAAATGTCATTTTGCTCAATGCAACCGATTGGGTTTCCAGATCGCCGGAAAGAGTCTGAAAAATGTTTTTCTCAGAATTAAAAAACATTATATCGTTCAGATGTTAATGGAACTTATTCTAGCGGCTTTTGAGCTATTTTTGACTATTTTAGAAAATTTATTCGACAAATTTGAGGTACCGTAAAGACTCTAATAGAACGCCACCCGGACCGTCCGCTTTGAGCCTATATATCTCACTTCTTTTGAAAGATATCAAAAAGTTGTCAACTAATAAAATGTTTATCATGATATCAGCAACATTCTATTAGTTTATCACTTTTTGATATCTCTCACAGAAAAGAGATACATGGGCTCAAATTTGACGATTCGGGTGGCGTTCTATTAGAGTGTTTACGGTACTTTAAGGCAGTTTTTCAAAGCTATTTTTGGGTTTTTTTTGTAGATCTCTAACAATATCGGCAATGTTAAAAACATTTAGGATTCTTGAGAACTTTATTTTGACCCAATTATTTTCCTCATTTTCGAAAATTTCAAAATTCTTACCGGAATCTTAAAATGCGATTTCAGACGCATTTCAATGAGATCCGAATCCGAAATGTGGTCTCCATTCAATTCGATAAATGGTAAAAGTCCATTTCTGGATCGCATTGTTGTGCATTCAACGATCTGAAAAATTCTGGATTCTTGAAAAAATTATGACCCAGAAAGTCTGAAATTTGAGATTCTAGGTCACCAATGTCTTAAGTGGGTTAGGAATTTTCGAGGTTCTAAGACAAAAATCGACTCAGTAGCCTAGAAATTTTGGATTTCTAGGCCGCCAACTTCTCGGAAAAGATGCTCACCTCATATGGAATTTTATAAATCCTGCACAAAACTTCGATTTTCATACAAAACGGTGACAAATGTGGACAGTTCTTGAGTCTTCCATACTGATAAAGGTATACTGTATCTCGCTTGTAGTCCTTTTTTTGAATCTGAAACATTAAAATTATTTTTGTGGTTAATTAGGGATGCTCAATTAGGTGATTAACTGATTTTTTCAAAAGAATTGGATCGAGAATCCAAAAAATCTAGGAAATTAAGAAATTCTAATAAATTTCGAAATCTAAAAATATAAATATACCTCTGGTTTGTCTTTGATTTGTGGAGGAGTGAAAAGGTCCTTCAAATACATAAAAATGGCTCCAAAAATTAGAGAAAATAGAAGAAAACAACAGTCAAACATTTTTTTTTGGAAAGGAACAAGTAACAATTTCCTTGGAGAATTTCCAAGGTTGTTTTGTATTTATAGGAAGACCGCGGACAGATGATGACAATTATAGATAAGGAGAGAGAGAGAGAGAGAGAGAGAGAGAGAGAGAGAGAGAGTGAGAGAGAAAGAGAGAGAAGAGAATTAGACAGTTAGAGAAAGTGGTGGACTTTGTAGTCGCATAAGTGGAATCGGTTGGATGTTGTAGGTGTAAGAGGGGTAATTATGTATGTGTTTGTTGTCTTTTTTGGAGTTTGTGAAAATTTTGAAAGTTCTCAAAATCTCAAAAAAAATTGATGGAATTTCGAAATTTTAACTTTTTCCTGAATTTTCAAAAAAAAATTCAAATGTTGTTTTTTCATATTTTCACGCTTCCACGTGGGTTCAGGCGAGGGGGTCAGAAAGCGCGCCCCAGTATTTTTTTCGAAAATTCTCAATTGGCTGCTGAGAGTTCGTTGACTGACAATCATACTTTAATGCATTAGGCCGAGAAGACGAATATGTTTTTTTTCAATATTTTTCGATGTTTTCTTTCGTTTTCGCTCGTTTTTTCTCGTTTTTTCCCATTTTTTTCAGTGAAAATTAGTTGAAAAAAGTTACAACTTATTTATTAAGGTGAGAAGTCCAATGCAACCGCCTCGTGCAGTGATGAGTCAAGTGAGCGAATGGAAGAAAGCTCGATTTTCGACGTTTTTTTGAGGTGAGTAACTGAAATATGTAATGTTCCAATATTTATTGATTTTCTAGGCTCGAGTCATCGCTCCGTCAGCTCGCCCAGAAGTACAACTGCGACAAGTAGATCTGGAGAAAGTGCTACGATCGTTTCCCACCACATGCCAGCAACTGCAGAAAAAAGAAGTGCGGACACTCGAACGATCTTCGCATCAAGAAGAAGTTAAAGTAATCTTCATTAGCCTTCGTCCATCGGTTGCCGAAGACTGTCCGTCTCTACGCTAACATGATGCAGTACTTCCAGTACAGTAGAAGCTATTATAACCCTGACATAACATTTAGATAAAATTTGTAGGAATACTATCTCATATATATTTCGGATGTCATGTCCTTAGGTGATATTAAATACATTGAGGTTCTTCCATAATAATTAATTCTTTATTAGAGGTTATTCAATAATTCGTTCTATTTTCAGAGCAACCAGAATCCGGCATCCGATTGCGAAGACAACAACGACACGAGCTGTGCACATGAGAAGGCGGATGGATCATCGTGAGAAGTCGCATGGATCAATTGGGTTTAATAATAATTGTTATCTCTCTTGTTATATGCCATGAATCTCAATAAATGGTCATATATTGCCTTGCCCTTCCTCGGAAAATTTAGGGAGAACAGCAACATAAATGGAGCAGTATTCACCGAAAAAAAAACCGAATTCATAGCCTTCTGTATCGTTAAAAAACATTAGAAATAACCACGTGAAATCCACGTGTCATTTTGAATTAGATAATTTCGGCTGGCCTACGAGTTAGCTGGGGCGAGCTTTCTGACCCCTCGCCTGAACCCACGTGCGCTTCTGATCTTTTTCTAATCTCTAAACTTCTGTATTTTCAAAAAACATAAATTTTTCTAAAATCCCGAATTTTCGAATTTTGGATTTCTGAATTTCAGAAGTAAGGAACTTTCGAATTTTCGAATTGACAAATTTCCGAACTAATCAATTTCAGAAATTTCGATTTTCCTGGAATTTTTGAATCTTCCTTATACCGTAAACACTCTAATAGAAAGTCATTTGAATCGTCAAATTTGAGCCATTTCATCTCATTTTCTGTAAATGATATTAAGAAGTGGATAATTAATAAAATATTGCTGATATCACGATAAACATTTTATTAGTTGACAACTTTTTTATATCTTTCAAAAGAAGTGAGATATATACACTCAAAGTTGACTGACCGGGTGACGGTATCTTTTTTCAACGTTTTCAAATTCCAGAAAGCTTATATTTTTCAAATTTTTCATTTTCAAAAGTTTCAAGCATAATATTATACAATCACCTAAAATTGAAAAATACAAATTCAATTAAATTTTTTATTCTAAATTAATCAAATTTCAGTAAAATAAAAATAAAACAAATCTCTAGAAGTTTTACAGAACCAAGAAAAATAACCAATTACAATGTGAAATCTTTGGGATAAACTTCCTTTCGGACCCTCTCCATATATTCCAGAATTTTCGGGAAATCCTTATTGATAACATCACAATTATGATTGTGGAATGGGTAGTATACGGTAGCCAATTGACTGAATACGGTAGCATCGGCCTGGAAAAAACTTTGGGTGGTTTTTTTTAAATATTAATTTCTGATTTTTTCAAAAAATTCCATAATTCCAGCCTCTACTCACCGCTGTAATCTTATCTCCAAACAAGAATTTTCCCTTCATCGTATTCTGAATAATTTCCAAATCCTTATGCAAAAATTCATCCAATTCCTTCAATTCGAAATCTCCAATTGCACCAGCACATTTATTATAAACTGCTTTTCCAACGATTGCCTTCAGAATTGGAACAAAAATGAAATTCAAATATTTTGGAGATCCGAATCCATTCAGAAGTGTCTCATAGAATGCGTCAACGGCGGTTTTGAAGCGGATCAGAAGGCTAAAAGGGCGGAAGTTTGAAATAGAATATTCTAGAATAATGTATGGACATTTGGAGAAACCGATACATGAACTATGAAAAATTGAAATTATGAAAAATTGAAATTTCCGAAAATTAAAAATTCGGAAAACTTACAAGAAAAGATGATGATCTGCAAACTTGCTCAAGAGAACTGATTGAGTTTCCAGCTCGGCTGGAAGGGACTGAAAATTTAAAAATTACGGTTTTTTTAATTAAGAACTTTTTGGAAAGTTAAAATTTTTTTTGTTTTTTTGACAATTTTCCCCAAAAAATCAAAACTTCTAACCGGAATCTTGAAATGAGATTTCAGACGCATTTCAATTAGAGCTGAATCAGCAATATGCTCTCCATTCAACTCGATAAATGGTAAAAGTCCGTTTCTGGATCGCATCGTTGTGCATTCGACTATCTGAATTTCGAATTTCAAAAATGTGGCCTAGAAAGTTTGAAGTTTGGGATCCAAAATCCTGAAATTTGTAATTCTAGGCCATCTTTAAATCTCAGAGATTGGGTTACTAGGTCATCAGAAATAGGTTGCCTTGGAGTCGGTGGTGAAAAATGCATGGCCTAGAAACTCCAGAATTTGAACCACCAAAAAAAGTATAATATACTATATTCTGTGGCCTAAAAAATATACGCTTGTTTTTCTAGGCCACCAGTGTTTTGGGAAACTTAGGAATCTTACGGATTTCTCTTGAAAATCGTATGACCTAGATTCTCTAAAATTTGGTTTTCTAGGCTACGAACGAATTACTGAAGCTTTTGAAGTTGCCTAGGATTTCCAAGTTTTTGATTTCTAGGCCACTTGTGAGTTTCTAGGCCATCAATGGGTTTCTAGGCCAAGAAAAAAAAGTCAGTGGCCTAGAAACCCCAAAATTTGGGATTCTAGGCCACCGACTATTTGAAAAAAGATTCTCACCTCATATGGAATTTTATGAATCCTGCATAAAATCTCGATTTTCATACAAAACGGCGACAAACTTGGACAATTTTTGAGTCGTCCATACTGATAAAGGTATACTGTATCTCTTTTGTAGTCCTTTTTTTGAATCTGAAACTTTTTAATACTTTTCTCGGTTAATTAGGGATAATTAACTAGGTAATTATTTAATTTTTTGTTTTTTTTGTATTAAAACTCACCGCTGGTTTTGGTTTGATGCTTGGTGGTGTAAACAATTTTTTGAGGTAGACAAAAATGGAAAAAATTAAGAAAACCAAGAAACCGGTACAGAAATCTATCATTTTTCAATGGATTCCTTTGTTTTGGGGACGTCTTTTTATATGTTTTCTTTGTGATTTGATAAGAATTTGTGACTGATTAGGAAAGTAACAAATGTAGTTTATTGGGTTGAAAATAGTGTGTTCTGTAGGTAATACAAGTGTGGCAAATGTGTCAGTTGTAGGTGACTGATAAGTTTTGAAAAGGAAGATTTTGATTTTTTAAAGAAATATATAGTTTCGAAACATAGAATTTTTAGAACTCTTTAAGTTTTGCAATACTTGAAAACAAAAATTTCTAGGGAAATTTTTAAAAAATCAGAAATTCAGAAATTCAGAAATTCAGAAATTCAGAAATTTTAGAAATTCAGAAATTCAGAAAATCAGAAATTCAGAAATTTTAGAAATTCGGAAATTCAGAAATTCAGAAATTCAGAAATTCAGAAATTCAGAAATTCAGAGATGCAGAAATTGCAGAAATTCAGAAATTCAGAAATTCAGAAATTCAGAAAGTCAGAGATTCAGAAATTCAGAAATTTTAGAAATTCAGAAATTCAGAAATTCGGAGATTCAGAAATTCAGAAATTCAGAGATTCAGAAATTCAGAAATTCAGAAATTCAGAAGTTCAGAAGTTCGGAAATTCAGAAATTCAGAAATTCAGAAATTCAGAAATTCAGAAAGTCAGAAATTCAGAAATTCAGAAATTCAGAAATTCAGAAATTCGGAAATTCAGAAATTCAGAAATTCGGAAGTTCAGAAATTCAGAAATTCAGAAGTTCAAAAATTCAGAAATTCAGAAATTCAGAAATTCAGAAATTCAGAAATTCAGAAATTCAGAAATTCAGAAATTCAGAAATTCAGAAATTCAGAAATTTTAGAAATTCAGAAATTCAGAAATTCAGAAATTCAGAAATTCAGAAATTCAGAAATGCAGAAATTCAGAAATTCAAAAATTCAGAAATTCAGAAATTCAGAAATTCAGAAATTCAGAAATTCAGAAATTCAGAAATTCAGAAATTCAAAAATTAAGAAATTCAGAAATTCAGAAATTCAGAAATTCAGAAATTTTAGAAATTCAGAAATTCAGAAATTCAGAAATTCAAATTTTTTCAGTTTTCAATTTTTCACAAGAACATCTTTATTTTAAAAAAATTGCGAATTCAAAAAAAAAATTATAATTAGCAGTTTTCCATTGGAAGCTCCTGCACATTGGCATCAACTGGAACGTCTTCAATTTTGATTTTCGAAAATTCGAAATTTGCTGGATTTCGGAAAAAACCAGGTTCATAATCAATCTTCATAACATCTCCATTGCTCATTTTAAAAAACCAACCGATAAAAAAACCAGAGAAGTACGGAGCTCCCCATAAAATTGAAAGTTGATGGTGTTCCAGAAGAAATTTTATACTGATATTGCTAATTTCAAATAAAGAGAAATTTAACAATGCCTGAAATTTCAAAAATTGTTTAAAATAATAATTTCAATTTTTAAAAATTATAAACTTCAAGAAGTTTGAGAAATTTCAACATTATACTATTCAGTTAAATTCTGAAAATTCTGAAAATTTGAATAGTTCCAGAATTATCTGAATTTGTCGAAAACTTCAGGGTATTTTTTTCTACTTTACACTATTCAGAATTCCAGAAGATTCGAAAATGCTGAAACTCCAAAAATTTTAGAAAATAAAATTTGTCTCAATTTTCAAAAAGCTTTCGAAAAATTCTGAAATTCCAAATTTTCAGAATATTTGGAAAATATCAAAACACACCTTTCTCAAAATATCCAAATTTCGAACGGAAACCGATGTAAACGAAATTCTAGCAATTGAAAAATGAGCAATTTTTTTGACATTTCCACCCAAAGCAAAGTAGTCGCAATTCAATTTTTTCGCGTTTTTCCATTGCTCAGTCTCCATTATTTGCTCCATTCCCAATGAATCATGTCCTTCATGCTGTGAAATTTCAGGATTTTCAATGTTAATTTCTTCCAAAACTTTGGGGTTCAACAGTGGCAAAATTGACATCACCTGTGCTTGTTTAAATGCCGAAATCTGTAATTTTTTGGCTGGAATGAGCAATTTGAAAGTTTTGCTCAGTTCAGCTGGCAAAATGTGAACGATAGAATCTTCTTTACGAATCGACTCGACGGAAAATCGAATTCGATGAATTCCAAACAAGATTTTTGAAATTTCAGCACTTGCTCCAAATCAAAAATGACAATATCCATAATATCCTGATCCTCGAAAATTGTGGTTTTCTTCCCGAATTTTCTGGTTTTTTCCTTCCGAAAATAATCGATAAATGCATATGGGAATAAAGTTAATCGAATGTGATTTTCGTCTTTCACTATAATTTGAACGTTTTCAAATTTTGAATCCGGAAGCTTTGATGCTTTCAGATCATCGATGAAGTTCTTGAAATCTTGACAAACTTGGCGGAGAGTTAGTCTGAAACTATTTGAAGTTTTGGATTTGAAAAAAATCATATTTAAAAAAGAAGAAACTCACACTTCTCTAAAACCACAAAATTTTACGATTTCCTCTTTCACAAGATCCGGCATTTTACAGAGGGAAGACATATTTTTAGAATAGAAATTGAAAATTTTTTAAATGAAATAGAAAGAAACCCGAAGAAAATGATGTGGAAGGAAATGTAAAAGTTTTTTTATCTCTCCGACTTTTTATTGACTTCCCTCGCATCATTTTCTGAGTCGATGACTCAGATTCAGAGAAATTTCGAAATTATTCCGATAAACAAATAAAGTGTTTAATTAAAAAGATTCATTGAAAATTACAAATTACTGGCTTTCTGAGTTTTTGACTATTACAAATTCAGAAATGCAGAAATTTTTGGCTCTTTCCGGGAAGAGCGGTTCCATCGTTGGACCGCCGGTCCCAACGAACTTCGACAACGGTCTCATTGATCCGAGAACGATCCCAACGGTACAACAACGGTCCCAACCAGGCTTGCTCCGAAAACCCTATTTGGAGAATTTCGAACTTGTGCCATTTTTCGAGTGTTCTTACAGACATCTTTTCCTGGCAATATGGTGAAGAAGGGCCTAAATCTATAACATCAGAATGAAAAAAAAACCTTCGAAAAATATCCTGTTAAAAAGTACTGAAATTTTTAGTTATCAGAAAAATTCTCAATTTTGTCGCTGAAATATTTTTCTCATTTTTCCCTGTAAAACTGGTTGGGACCGTTGTCATACCGTTAGGATCGTTCTCGGAAAGCTGGGGCTGTTGTCAGAACGTTGGGACAGTTGAAGGACCAATAGGTCCGTTATCGGAACAATGGGACCATTGTAGAAGTTCGTTGGGACCGCTCTTCCCGGTAAGAGCCGAAATTTCTTCACATGTCAGATTTCCTAAAGTTCTTAAATTTCGAAATTTTAAAGTTTTTGAAATTCTGGAAAAATCACGAATTTTTCGGAAACCTGTAAAAATTTCAGAAATTCGAAAATTCCAAAAAAATCTGAAATTTGAAAAATTGAAAAAATATAATCCCAAAATTCAAACAATTATAACTTTTTGAAAATTTTTGATATTCGGAAACTTAGAAAAAAAATTAAAAATTGCAGAATCTGAGAAGTCTTCAAAAATTATTTCAAAAATCCAAAAAAAATTTTTACAAAAACACAAAAAAAAATTTTCCAAAATTTTGAAATTTCAACAAATCATCAAATACATAAAACAAATAACTGTTCAACAAATCAGACGACACAAAATTTCCTACTCTTTGGACTTGCTTCATCTGTTCAAATATCAATTTTGTAACAAGTGTGGGCGTAGAAAAATTTCAAACTACAGAACATTTTTCAAAATTCCAAGAAATACCCTGCGAGAACATTTTCAGACTATTCCAAAGTTTGGGTTTTGAGTCATCCGAAAAAAAATTCCAAACAAAATTTTTTTCGAAAAGTTCAAAATCTCATACTTGTTCATACTTGGACCAGAGACAAAATTTTAAAGCTGTTCAAACACCGAAAATCTAGTTTCGAAGCTCAAAAAAAAATGTTTGAAATACTCGGTGCATCTTTTGCATGGGCAGCAGATGTGCAAAGATACAGTATCCAGTATAAAAAGAAATGCCAAACATATCATCCTCACTTCTCAGCTCTTCCTGTCCTGGTCCGACAACTAGAGCTCAATCTGCAGGAACACAAAATGATTGCTCTCATTTCTTTGATTCTGGCTTTTTTGGCTCCACAGGCTCAAGCAGTCATCGGAGGAGATCTTAATTGTACTAGCTACAATGGAACAGCGGTAAGAGGATTTTTAGAATGTTCTAGGAGATTCTAGAACTAGATTTTAGCAGCTAAGAATGTTCTAGAATGTCCAGAAAGCTTAATAGAATTTTCTGGAATAGGGTTCCTATTGGTTCATGTCTTGAAGTCTTCAAAATTCAGAATTAAACGGTCTAGCTCTTTTTGGATTGTTTGAGAATTGTTCTTATGAACGTTTTGAATTATTTTTTAGTTTAAAAGTATCTTGTTCAGACTGGAATGTTTGGAAAATGTGAAACATTCTAAATTGACCATCTTGAAAACTCTTGAACTATTTTCTGAGTTGGGATGCTTTGAGAAACTTCAAGAACATTCTAATCTTCCCATTTTCCAGTTCGTGTGGACCCCAGCTGCCACGGCTTGCTCCAACGTCATCTCCGACTCATCGTGCGCCATCCTCTACCCTGCACCAGTCGTTGCCGATGGATACCCAGCACCAAACATGGACCAACAAAGACCATTGGCCTGTTACACAACCGCCACAGCCACTCCAGCCGCCATCGTTCAGGATATGAAGAAGGCTGCAATGGATAACTGCCCAAGAACTTGTGGATTGTGTTGTCAGACCAGTGCTTACAGTTGTGCCAATGTTGCCTGTAAGTTACTTAGGGTACTGTAAGCTTGGGGTACTGTAGTATGAGAAAGCAGATGGATTCTCTAGAAGCGACTCATGAAAAAGCGTTAAGGAACTAACCTAACGCTGAGTCTCTGCTGTAAAAAGAGGTATTTTTGAAATACCATAATAATCTGACTCTAAAGCATTGCAACTCATAGCATGCCTCATATGCTCATTAGTAGTCGGTGAAGTTAGCTGAATTTCTACTTCTACCTCTCTTATATCCTCAAAATCAAGGCTACGCAGCCGGTCGTAGCATTTCGGTCAATGTATTTCTGGATAGCTAGGATACGGTGGTCTACCGGTTCTGATGTTTTTCTGCATCAAGTCATAGACCTCTGAAAGTACTTCCAAGCAAAATCTTGATTTTTGGGACTCTGAACAAAACGGTCATATTGAACTTTCCGGCTTAAAGGCCCTTTGGATAGGCTATAAAGATTTATGTCCAGTAAAGTCCCCCTTGAAGGTCCCTTCTAACACAAATCCTACTGTATTCCAGTCCCCCGTCTCAACTGTGCCACAATCACCAACTCTCAATGTCTCTCTGCCGCCTGGCGTACCATCATCGCCACCGACTGCCCCTCCGCGTGCGGATTCTGTAACTCTGGTGGATGCGTCGACGCTGTCATGGATTGTGCCAACGACCGTTCCATCTGTACCGGCGTTGGAATGCAAGACTTTGTGAATACATACTGCCAAAGAACCTGCAATAGATGCGCGTCCTCCACTACGCGTTCCTCAGTCATCTCCTCGGCAACCTGCACATCATACATTGCCGACTCGTCAACCAATTGCAGAAACTGGAGTACCAATGGATTCTGCACGAATACATTCTACACTTTGGCTCAAAGAAGATCATATTGTGCCACCACTTGCAGAATTTGCTAGATATCTCTTTTTTTGACAAAACTTAAGACCAGGCACGGGAAAAGCTGATGAGGACGACATGTAAAAATCTTTAGTGGATAATTTCTTATATTTTATGCCTGACCAACATAAAAACTCATAAAGATTTTTGAAACTGAAATTTGTATTTATCATTTGCATCTTGTGTCTCCAAAAACTGATACTGATAAGACCTTCTGATCAGTGTTGTTTCTCCTGACCACCATGTCTTTATAAACAATTATTTGTTGCAACTTAAAACTTTGTTCATAACAAAAAATTCACACAGAGAAGAAGGAGATTACCAATCAGAAACTGGCCGCTTCTCAATCCACTTGGCAATTTGTGGAATTCTCTGAACATCCTGAGAATGCGTCTTCATCTCTGGGTACTCATCAAAAAGACTCTCTCCCTCACGTTTGAGCAAGTCAGCTGAATGCTGAGCAACCAACAGATCAATCCAGGTCAAAGAATCTCCAACCAGGAATCCATGTCCACTGGATTTCAAAGCCTTCGACAAGAATCCGTAGTGTTTTTTGAATGCTGGAAGATATACAGTCTTGTACAAAGTGTCTGCGTCTCCTTCGGTGTATCCGAGCTTCACAGCGAGGTATGGACGTGCTTCGGCATAGTAATCTTTGAATTGATCAGCTAGAGAATTGACTTGAGCCTCTTCGAAATGAGTTTTCCCGTTGATGCCAAACTCGCGAGCAAGGTAACGAGACATGGCGTGGGATTGAGCAAGAGGCTTTCCGTCGATGGTGAGCATTGGGAGTTGGTTGTATGGGGCTTCTGGAATATAGTGGTTTGATGAAATTGGAGCTCAAATTGAAATTTGTAAAATTGAAGAAGTGGAATTCCACAAAAAAGAGACTTTTAAAGATTCTGAATTTATAGATTTTTTTTATATTTTTGAAAATTTCTTGGAACTTCTAGAACGTTTTGGAACTTTTTGATTTTTCTGGAAATTTCTGAAATTTTGAGTAATTCTTGAAAATTGAGGAATTTTAAAGAAGTATTTAAAAAAATGCGAACATTATCGAAATTTTCGAAATATAAAATCTGGAATTCTCAAAGCTTTTACAATAGGTTTAATTGATTTTTATAATTCAAAAATTCAAAAATTCAAAAATTCAAAAATTCAAAAATTCAAAAATTCAAAAATTCAAAAATTCAAAAATTCAAAAATTCAAAAATTCAAAAATTCAAAGATTCAAAAATTCAAAAATTCAAAAATTCAAAAATTCAAAAATTCGAAAATTCAAAAATTCAAAAATTCAAAAATTCAAAAATTCAAATATTCAAAAATTCAAAAATTCGAAAATTCGAAAATTCAAAAATTCAAAAATTCAAAAATTCAAAAATTCAAAAATTCAAAAATTCAAAAATTCAAAATTTCAAAAATTCAAAATTTCAAAATTTCAAAAATTCAAACATCTTCATCTCAAACTCACTTCCAGCAGCCTTGTACTCTTCCCATTGCTCATCGGTGAGCCGTTGATCTTCATATTCCTGCCCGGCGTAGGCAAAAATTTGGCGGCAAATCTCTCCAGCGCCACGTCCATCAAAATATGTCAGTTTGTAGGAAACCATGTTTTTAGAATTGAAAAAACTATTTTCGATATTTTTTGTTCAATTTGAAGCAGTTTTATATACTAGAAGCATTTGTCATCAGGCGTATTTGTCATTCAGGCGTTTTGATGACAAAATATCTAGAATATTGTGAAATAATTTTTTTTCGTACAAAACTTTTCAGTGCAAAGACCGAAATTTTGTACTACGTGTGTACTAAACAAGCAAAATAAGATGACATTGGAAAAAGAGCAGTGATCAGCGGGTATTATCAGTATCAGTTTTTGGAGACACAAGATGCAAATGATAAATACAAAATTCAGTTTCAAAAATCTTCATTAGTTTTATGTTGGTCAGGCATAAAATATAAGAAATTATCCACCGAAGATTTTTACATGTCGTCCTCATCAGCTTTTCCCGTGCCTGGTCTTAAGTTTTGTCAAAAAAAGAGATATCTAGCAAATTCTGCAAGTGGTGGCACAATATGATCTTCTTTGAGCCAAAGTGTAGAATGTATTCGTGCAGAATCCATTGGTACTCCAGTTTCTGCAATTGGTTGACGAGTCGGCAATGTATGATGTGCAGGTTGCCGAGGAGATGACTGAGGAACGCGTAGTGGAGGACGCGCATCTATTGCAGGTTCTTTGGCAGTATGTATTCACAAAGTCTTGCATTCCAACGCCGGTACAGATGGAACGGTCGTTGGCACAATCCATGACAGCGTCGACGCATCCACCAGAGTTACAGAATCCGCACGCGGAGGGGCAGTCGGTGGCGATGATGGTACGCCAGGCGGCAGAGAGACATTGGGAGGAGGTGATTGTGGCACAGTTGAGACGGGAGACTGGAATACAGTAGGATTTGTGTTAGAAGCGAGAATTGGAGGTCTTTCCGGAGGACTCGTATATTAGAAGAGGCTTTTGAAGTAGTCGTTACTAGACATCAAGACATGTAGCCTATCCAAAATGCCCTATGCCAGCGACTTTTAGAGGAATTATAGATTTAAAGTTTTTGGATTCGTCTAAAGCTTCGGTTTCGTCTTCAGCATTTTTTCCTAGCTATCGTAGTGTTTAAGATATGCGCCTTTGAAGATTATGACCGGCGCCTGAAAAAAAAAACGCAAATCTTACCATAGCAACCACACGGCCTTTAGGCCGCCAAAACCAAGAGATACCTATTGGCCTGTGGACCGAGAGCTACAGAACATGATTATCGCCCTAGGTCAAGGATAATGGATTAGGTGTTTAGTGGGTTACTGTAACTAAACGTCGCTAGACCTAGGGCCGCTCACATTTTACACTACTGTACAGTACTGTTCTGATTGGAATCTACATTGAGTACGGCCTTCAATTTGACAGTCTTGGTCAAGAACTTTAAAATCGTCAAGGAACGCAAGGCAGTTGCCTTGACAGGCTTCTTGAGAATCCGTCTGTTGTCTGATTCATACTACAGTACCCCTGAAAAATTCTAACTTACATGCAACATTGGCACAACTGTAAGCACTGGTCTGACAACACAATCCACAAGTTCTTGGGCAGTTATCCATTGCAGCCTTCTTCATATCCTGAACGATGGCGGCTGGAGTGGCTGTGGCGGTTGTGTAAAACGCCAATGGACTCTTCTGGTCCATGTTTGGTGCTGGGTATCCATCGGCAACGACTGGTGCAGGGTAGAGGATGGCACAGGATGAGTCGGAGATGACGTTGGAGCAAGGGGATTTAGGAATACGTTGATGGAAAGTTTCGATTGATAGTTTTAGAATAGTACAGCTCGTACTGAATAGTATAACTGATTCTAAAGCTTTCTAGACAGTCTTAAAGGATCCTCAGGAAGTTCTAAACTGTTCCATTGTCTTAAAGGATCCTCAGGAAGTTCTAAACTGTTCCATTGTAGCTATTACAATTAAGATCTCCTCCGATGACTGCTTGAGCCTGTGGAGCCAAAAAAGCCTGAATCAAAGAAATGAGAGCAATCATTTTGTGTTCCTGCAGATTGAGCTCTAATTGTCGGACCAGGACAGGAAGAGCTGAGAAGTGAGGATCATGGATTTGCCATTTCTTTTTATACTGAGTACTGTATCCTTGGACATTTTTTGAAACTTTGCACAGATGCTTTTCTGTACAAGTTGCACCGACTAGTTTTGTTTGGACAGATGTTTTTTGAAGGGCAAAGAATAGACCGAAATGTATTTTGAAACTGAATAAATCTGGAAACCCTTTTATATTTTCTAATTACAGTTTCTGAATTTCTGAATTTCTGAATTTCTGAATTTCTGAATTTCTGAATTTCTGAATTTCTGAATTTCTGAATTTCTGAATTTCTGAATTTCTGAATTTCTGAATTTCTGAATTTCTGAATTTATGAATTTCTGAATTTCTGAATTTCTGAATTTCCGAATTTCTGAATTTCTGAATTTCTGAATTTCTGAATTTCTGAATTTCTGAATTTCTGAATTTCCGAATTTCTGAATTTCTGAATTTCTGAATTTCTGAATTTCTGAACTTCTGAATGAAAAACTTTTATTAGAGAAAAAAAAGATCAAGAATCCAAGTTTTATTAGAGAAAAAAGATCAAGAATCCAAGTTCCTCGAAGTTACAGACGGTACAACAATCACTGTAGCAGGTTTTCTTCCAAATGTCACTCCGAAAAAATTTAAAAACTCTCTGATATTGCTCAGAATAAAACTGCGATACGGTGAATGTATAAACAACATGATAAGGGTTGAGAATAATCCGAAAGTTGAACAAACCGCAACAGAAATATTATTCCATTTCTGTGAATAAAAATCAAAAAAGAATTCAGCGAAGAAAAATAACAGTGGCAATACAATAAATGGTATTGGGATCACCATTTGAATATGCATCGACCTCAAGAACGTTTTCTGCATTCTTCTAGTTTTTTCCGACATAGTTCCACGATTTTTCAGCTTTTGTTTCAATTTAATCAAGAAAAAGTATAATTGAACGTTCAGAAAAACTAGAAACGCAAGTATGGTGTACAATGCAGTGTATAAATCCTCGTTGATTATGTAGAATTGTAAATCGAGAATTTCCGAAGGTAGGCAAGGAAATTTCTAAAAGGGAAACAAGTTTTTTGGCGTTTTTTAAAGGTGGGGGGACAGGAGATTTTTCGTAGTTTTTTTGTAGCTAGAGTATGCATTCTACCGTGACGGTGTACAACGCTTAATGTCACTCTGCGTACAGCTGTCGTCCTCGCCTTTATGTATGCAATCCGGCGCCGGCTGCCTCTTTGCCCGCGTGGCTCAGTCGGTAGCGGCGCCGCACCCTCAATACTAGTCTCGACAAGTTCAACTCCTCGAGGGGCATATTTAAACGGAATTTCGAGAACATTATTTTTTTCATGTCCCCCCACCTTTAATGATATTTCTCTGTAATTAAGTCTAGCAAAATGAGCGAAAAAGATCGAACATTTGATGGAATCGAACTCGGGTTTTCTTCTTTTGTGGCCTCTCCTGGCCCAAACAATTACCTTCGAAACCTCCGACTTCAACAGTTTTGGATTTTCGGGTGCGGCGAGATAAAATGGAAGACTGAAAAATGGGACCATCGCATAGTTCCAAATAAGCCAAGGCACTCGAACTTTTCCCCATATCCAATGAGCATCACAAATTACCATATATCGATTTTCGAAAATTTGAAGTGCTGAAAGGAACATGGATTCTACGGTAATCGTCAGGAAACATGTTTGGACTATTGGATCGACTCCAAGTTGTTCAAAAAGGCCAACTCCTGACACAATAAAACTTGGTGCCAAAAAATATGGTGTCACTATGACACTAAACACCAAATCAAAGAGAAAAGTTAGAAAATGATAGTTAATCATGGCAGTTTTGACGGATTCCATAGTTTTGGGAGTTAAGAATAAGATACAGTAGGCACCAAGTATATGGATTGGTATCGATAAGCATCCTAGGATATGGAGGGAAGAATTAAGAAAATCCGGGCTGTCTAAATACGAAAACTTGTAGTTTTCGGAGCAATACGTTGCCATGGATTTGAAAAAGAAAACTTGATGAAAACTTGAAATCGCTGAAAAAAATGCACCTGTTTCTAGAAAGATGCCAATCAAAAAAGCTGTCTATATTTTTCAGTAATAATTTTCATTCATATTCTTGAATCCATGGCAAATTTTTGCAAAAGTCCAGATTACCTTATCTTATCCCTTCATATTCTAGGATGCTTATCGATACCAGTCCACATATTTGGCGCCTACTGTACTTTACTCATAACTCGCAAAACCGTGAAATCTGTCAAAATTGCGATGATCAACTATCATTTTCAAACTTTTCTTATGGATTTGATGTTTAGTGTCATGGTTTTCACCTATTTTTTGGCTCCTATAGTTATTGTGTCGCCAGTCGTCATTTTTGAAAAACTGGGATTATTCTACAGGGCAAGAGCATGGTAACAAAAGATCCGCGCAAGCAATACCGCCGTGCCACATTCCAGAAGAGACTCATGGATGTTGTGACCAGGGTTGCAATCTGACGGGCTGGCCGGCGGGCCGGCCCGGCCCGGCCGGTAAAGCCCGGCCCGCCGGCCCGAGGGAAAAAAAACCAGGGCCCGGCCCGGCCCGGCCGGCAGGCAATTAATTAATATTTTTTCTGATATTTTTTTTTCTGAAACTTTCAGACCCGTGATCTTGTCACAAAGTTAATGCCGTCAGCTATTCCCTCCACTACTCAACCCACCTCATCGCAGAAGTCAAATCTAATTGCAAAGTTATATCATTCGGTCAGTGACCAAGCGAACTCAACATCCACTTCTTCGGAAATCTCAAGATATCTCTCCGAGTACTACGATCCTTCAACGAACGAATCGGTTGAGGAGTATTGGAAAAGAAAAAGATTCGAATACCCCGGACTGTACTCAGCAGCACTTTTCGTTTTTTCGATTGTTCCCTGTGAAGCCATGTGTGAGACTACGTTCAGCACTGCGTCGTTTTTGTTAGATAAAACAAGAACAAGATTACTGTACAAGCGTGTGGAGATGGTCGTTCTGGGTTCGCAAATAGCCACGAAATTTCCACACTGGCTCGACTGATTCTCTCACTAATTGTAGTGATTTTTCTAGTTAATTTTATGTCACTTTTCTATCTTCTTTGTTGGATTGGTTGATATGAGCTTTAATTTTCTCCCCCCGGTTTCCATTTCTTTGTTTCCCCTTGTTCATTTATACGGTTTTTACATTGTTATGCTACTTGTTAAGAAATAAATTCAAATAATTCTTCAATAATTTCTGTTTTATCTTAAATTCGAACGGGCCGAACCGGCCGAACCGGCCGGGCCGGAGAAAAAATAATCTCGGCCCGGCCGGTTGCAACCCTGTTTGTGACAAACAAAGGCAACCGCGTCGAACAAATTTCATAATATCATTTTTAGAAAGTATTCAATGAACTATTGCTAAGTTTTTATGTGGATACTTATCATTTTCCGAAAGTTACATCACTTTTAACACACATTTTCTGTAGTTCTCGGGCATCGACCCATTGTCATATATACAAAAAAAACAAACAGTTCCAAATCAGTTGGTAATGCATACAGTTAGTACACTTGAACTTCTAAGAGTTTTGAGGATACTTTTGATTGGCTCCGCCCACTTTGGTCCGATATCCAGAACTTTTTGTTATTTCAAAAGACCAAAAAAGTAGGGTCTCATCTTCCAATAGAAAACTTCAATTTTTCGTGTTTTTTGTATTTTCTCACAGTTTTTTCAAGTTTTCGTCCTCATGGGACTGCGTGTCAACAGATTTCTTTGCAGATTCAAAATTCTCATAAAATTTTACTATAGAAAATTTTACACTTGCAAAAAATCAGCAAATTTGTAGGACCGAAATGACTAATTTCACGAAAATGTCGATTTCTTCGACTACTGAAAAATTTCGAAATTTTTTTTGGTTTTAAAGGAGGCCAGACAGGAAAATTTTCAAAATTCTAGTTTTGTGATATTTGAAACAGTACAGTCAGGAAATAACAACGCACACCAAACCATAACTCCCTGTTACTGTACAAGCGAGAACGCGAATGTTCTTCCACGCGGCGGCTAAAGCGGCGCTCACTCCTCGTTTCATAATCGTTTTAGCGGCAGAAGCCGACAAGCGCTGTGTGGTGTAAAGGTGAGCGCGCTTGTCTGTCAGTCGCCCATCGCGGGTTCAACTCCCATATGTCCGTTTTCGTTTTTTTTTTCTGTTTTCATGCTGCGACATCATAGAATGACCGAATAACTAAAAAACGTCGGGAATAATTTCCTAACATTGAAGAAATTTAGTGTATAGCAGCAATATTGAAAAGATTTTTGACCAAAAATTTTTTTCATCCAATTTTTCGATAATGTTGGTCATGAATAACCTCGAAAATTCGTAAAAATTTAAAATTCTTCAAAATTCTAGAGTAGCTTTTTATGGGTACCCGATTCACTATAAGAAGTGAAAAACTGATGAATGGCCAAAAAATGCAAAAACAAAAAGTTTAAAAGAAGGTGGGTTCGAACCGGCAAAACAAGATTACCAGACAAGCGCGCATACCCCTCGGCCACCGGACCACGCTTTGCAATGGTGAAAGGTGGTGGTTAAGAAACCGGTGTTTGTGAGAGGGGAGTGGAGGAGGGAGCTCGTGATGAAAAGTTGAAATTTACATGCTTTATTGGTCGATTTTGGAGCACAAATATCTCGGCTCTCCGGTCCATTTAGCAAAATTTGAAAACTGTTTCAGAACCAGGGAATGACCTTCTTTCCGATGGAACCACTGGTATGTCTCGATCGCGAGGTAAGTTCTGACCATTCCCTAGTGAGTACGGTTTTACCCTAACAGCAGCTCCAACAACTGAAAATTGCATCGAATACTTGAAATTGGTTAACTTTTACTGCTCCCGAACAACTTTTCAATAGTTACAAGAAATCTTGTATAATAGGAACGCTTTTTAACGATTTTTTTCTATAATCGAGTAAAAAATTTTTTGAAATTCACAGTCTCTTATTTTGACTTTAGTTTGATTGAAATGATAAGATAAGACAAAATTGAAAAATCAAAAATCACCAAAAACTAGAATCTATTTTTCTCTTCTCTTTTTTTGATAACATTTTTTTTTCATTGATCAAAAAATGACCTTGATTTACCTATTCATTTTTTCTATTTTCTTATTCTTTGTCAGCTTTTTCTGGAAAACTATAAAACGAATTTTGCGATTCCGAAAGTTTGATAACAAGGTAATTAAGTAATTAAGTAATTAATTGCTCCATAAAATTATATATTCAGATTCCTGGTCCTCCAACAAGTCCAATTTTGGGGAATGTTCAAACTTTTAGAAATAAATCTACAGTCGGTAGGAATTTTTTTAAAAATTTTATTCTCCAAACACTTTTTCAGAACTCAACCAAATCTTCCTGGACGCTGCTGAAAAATGTCGAAACTCCAAGTCCAACTACATGAAGTATAGGATTTTGGATAAACTTTTTGTGCTTCCACTTAACGGGAAATCTGCGGCGGTTAGTGAACTTTAAGCTCAATTATCTTGCTTCCTATGAAAGATATCAAAAAGTTGTCAACTGATAAAATTTTTATCATAATATCAAAAGTATTTTGTCAGTTAATTACTTTTTGATATCTCTTACAGGAACCGAGATAAATTAGAATTGGTAGAATTTTCCGGATTTTTGAAATTTCATTTTCGAAAATATCAGCATTTAAAGATATTTGAATATCTCAAAAATTGTACAAGATTCCGGATTTTTTATTTCAATTTTGTTTAGAAATTCAACAAATTCAAGTAAATAAGATTTGAAAAAAATTTCTAGGATTTCAGTAATTTTTTTAGAATTTTCCTAATTTCAACATTTTTCAAATCTTCAAAAAAAATTTTAAAATTCCAGAAAATTCTAGAATCATCTTCGGAATTGAACAAAGGAGACGACTATGATTTTTTCGAGCCATGGTTAGGCGGTGGAATTCTAGTGGGCCGAGGCGAAGAAAAATGGAGAACACATCGAAAATTGTTGACTCCATCGTTTCATTTTGCAAAATTGGAAGGATATTTGGAAGTTTTCAATACGGAGTCAAGGGTAAGAAAGCTATTGTAAACCAGCCTGTTTGCAGCGCATCCGGCGCTTCAAACAGCAGGCTGGTGCGCCTTCGGCGCGATTTAATCTATTTATTTTACTGTTCGTCGCTCGGCTCCTCATTGTTTCTCAAAAGTTCAAGTCAGAATATACTCAATTTTCAAGCTTTTCAAAATGTGCTGACAACCTGACAGAGAGAGAGCGACGCAACTGCACTTGATGTGTTCTGCCTACACCGTTCACTGTGGTGTTCTAATTTTCTTAAAGGTGGGGGGACAGGAGATTTTACGGGGATTTTTGGGGCCAGAGTATGCATTCTACCGTAACGGTGTACAACGCTTAACGCCACTCTGCGTACAGCTGTCGTCCTCGCCTTTATGTATGCAATCGGGCAGCGGCTTTCTCTTTGCAAGCGTAGCTCAGTCGGTAGCGGCGCCGCACCTTCAACACTCGCCTCGACAAGTTCAACTCCTCGAGGAGCATATTTAAACGGAATTTCGACAACATTATTTTTCTCATGTCCCCCCACCTTTATTATCCTTGTCTGAGAAAAAAAAGGTTGAGACGCAGAGAAAAAGTGTCTGTGTCTCCACCTTATGTGTACTATTTAGGCTCTCCGCTTCGATATCGCTACCGTATTCAGACTGCAAAAAATACTCTCTAACCTTTTTTTTTTCTCAGACAAGCATAATAACATTGATTTTTTAGGTCACCATGCTAAATTGCCTAGAAGTGACCTGATATCCACCTGGTGTGTTTTCTAAGCCATTTACTATGACGGCCTTTTTTCGTCATATTAGGCCGACCAACTTTTCGAGCCTAGAAATGTCTTAATACTTACCTATTGCGTTTTCTAGGTTATGTACCATAGCTTAGCGAAAAACAAACGGAAGACTAAAATTTTTAAGGAATTGTCGAATTTTATTCAAATTCTAAAAAATTCTTTCGGTGGATCCGTCTAACTGCAAAACCAATACGAAAATTCGATTCTAACGTATTGTCCAATCCAAAATTTCCAAGTTTAATTCCTAGATTTTCCGTCTTCCGTCTTCCGGTTTCCGTTTTCCGACAAAAAAAAATTGTTCCGTTTCCGTTTTCCGTCTTCCGTGAAACGAAATTGTATTTCCGCTCAACACTGGTTACCTCACATTGAAATCATGAGAAAAATGTTCAATAGTTTTCCACGACTTCTCGGAAATTTTTTCAAAAGAAAATCAAACACTACTTGTCAGAAACTTTTGTGCCATATTTCTTCCGATCAATAAATTATCAAAAGAAACATTCCGAAAATCATTCTTATCAGTCTTATAATGAACAAGCGAAGATGCGTCTCTTTGTCTATCTCTCTGTCTGTTTGTCAGCAAATTTTGAAAAGCTTGAAAATTGAATACAATTGGACATGAGCTTTTTGAGAAAACGTGAGGAGCAAAGCGACGATCAAGTAAAAACTATATTAAATCGCGCTGAAGGCGCACCAGCCAGTTGTTTGAAGGGTCGGATGCCCGGCGAACTGGCTGGTTGATCTTAATCGAAGTTAAACATGCTCATTTTTAACGAATTCTCAGCTACACGGTCAACGCTGGCGAAGGAGCTAAACTTCCCCATTTTCCAGATCCTAGTCTCCTGCCTCGACGAACTCTCTGATTCTTCAAACCCCATTGACATCTTCCCATACATCAAACGATGTGCTCTTGACATTATATGTGCCGCAGTGATGGGAACAAAAGTCGACGCACAATTATATCACAATCATCCCTATGTAAATGCAGTGGAGATGTTCAGTGTTCTTGTGGTACAGTACCCCAAACCTGCACATCTAACTTCACAAATTTATGTTTCAGATCGAAAACGCTATCAATCCGATTTTCCAAATCCCGCCGTTATTCTGGTTGCTCGGATACCAAAAGCAAAAAGAGGAGTGTATAAAAGTGATGAAAGAATTTTCAACAAGTGTAATTTCGGAGAGGAAAGCGGCATTGGATTCTGGAGAAATAGAAAAGGAGACTAAAAAACGTAAAATGAATTTTCTGGATATTCTACTGAAGGAATCTTCCTTGTCTCCAGAAGACGTCCGGCAGGAAGTTGACACTTTTATGTTTGCGGGTCACGACACTACGACAAGTTCAGTGTCATGAGCGTGCTGGAATCTTGCTGAAAACCCGGAAATTCAAGATAAGGTGTACAAGGAGTTAGTGAAGGTGTTTGGAGGGGATGAAGATGTGACTTATGAAAAAATGAGCGAATTGGAGTATACAGAACGAGTATTGAAGGAATCGAAACGTTTGGTTGCACCAGTTCCAATGGTTCAAAGGAAAATTATTAGTGATATGGAGATTGGTAAGCTGATAAGAATTTTCAAAATGGAAAAACTTTTAAAAATACTATTTGTGCCGGGAACTCTCTGATAGAATCACCTCTTTAGGCTTTCAACGTTGAGCCAATCTATCTCAGTTCCTGAGAAAGATATCAAAAAGTTTTGAACTGATAAAAAGTATAATTTTTTCCAAACCAAAATAATCGGAAAAAATATCACTAATTTTTTTCGTAAATCAAAACATAAGAAATTGATTTTTTTCTCACAAAAAAGTATCGAAAATGTAAACTTTTTTGTATATTTGTTTTCGGTCATTAAATGTGGGGAAGCATGAAAGAAAATAATGTTCTCCATATTCCGTTTAAATATGCCCCTCGAGGAGCTGAACTTGTGGGGATGAGGATTGAGAGTGCNGNNCTGNTTCCAAATGCTGCAAACGGGCTGAAATAACACACGGCATCCGATGAATACGTGTATGCCGCGTACTTGGAAAAGAACAAAAAAGATTATGATGATTGATTGTTCAAAATTTGCAAAAAAACATTTATTTTCAATAAAACTTTTAAAAACTTTCTAGAACCTGGAAGAAATTCAGAAATTCAGAAGTTCAAAAATTCGAAAATTCGAAAATTCGAAAATTGAAAATAATTATCTCCTTATCAATTTGACTGGAATTCCATTAGACGGTCTGGCAATTGGCTGAAAAAAATAATTCCCAAACAAAATGTTCAGATTCTTTTTTCAAATTTTCAAACCTCCAATGCTGGCTTAGTCACTCCACACGGTTCTAAACGGAAGTTTCTCAAAATATGAGCAATCATGACTTTCTCATTAATTTGAGCGAACTTTTGTCCGACACAATTTCGAAGTCCAGCTGAGAAAGGAATGTAGTCAAAAGCGTTCCGTTTGGAGATTTCGTCTGGTAGAAACCGATCAGGATCAAAAATTGCTGGATTCGGGAACACTTCTGGATTCTTATGGATCAGCATTGGGGAGATGGAAATGTTTGCTCCGGATGGGATGGTGATGCCGTCTAGAAAAGTTTAGTTTTTAGAATTTTTCTTTGAAATTTCTAGTTTTGGAATACCGTTTTTTTTAACCGTAGATAATTTCCGTTTTTTGATACCTTGAAGGTGGGGAGACAAGAAATTTTTCGGATGTTTTTTTGGAGTTAGGGTATGCATTCCACCGTGACGGTGTACAACGCTTAAAGGTGGGGGGACATGAAAAAAATAATGTTCTCGCAATTACGTTTAAATATGCCCGTCGAGGAGTTGAACTTGTCGA